GAACACGAATTTGATCAAAAAAATTAGCCAATCAGAATTTTGATGTACACAATTTTGATGTACAAAAAAAATTGCCGATATATTTATTCTTTAAATAAATAAATTATATTTACTTGATACATTTTTTAGCACATGAAATTACATAATCGGTACTAAACTAACAGAATAATACAGAAATTGTCACATCACAGAATTTTAATTAACCACACGCAGAATTTGGTTTTATTCACCGCAGAAAATTATCATCCCTGCCCTAGTGTTACGTGATCTTGATATTTCAGTAAATCTGCACCACAAACCTAGCACACATTCAAGATAGGGATATTACCCGAATCACGTTGACCCGTGTGGGTCAACTGACCCTCGGATTACGGGTCAAATTTTATCAAACCCGGGTCAAATGGATCAGGAACCAAATGGGCCAAAAATTTATTTAATTATATCGATTTACATACCAAATTAACATTAACGTTAAAAATCAAGACAAGCTATATATATTCGATTACAATTACCATAAAAATTATTATTACATAAAATATTTGCACGCTATTTAGTGGCCTTTGAATTAGGAAATTCTAAATATAAAGTATCTGCTTCAATTACACTTTTTTTTTTGGTTTACAATAAGTGTTTTCCATATTTTTTTACAAACTAATATAATTATTTATATTGTCCTGGTCAATGCATTATTAGGATCGATTTCTTAACGATTATTTAAACTTCAGGTGATTTCTTGACTATTATACGATAAGTTGCACCCTAATTCTTAGTGTGAATGCATCGTTTTGTTCAATTTCTAATTTAAACAAATAAATACTTTATTATATTTTCCCAGTATATAATAAGTTATTTAATGAATTTAAATATTTGTGATTTAATTTCCTGTTATTTTTGTACTTTAAGTCTGTTTAACCATTTAACGTAAACCTTTTTTTATTTATTAATTCAATAAAAGTTTATTAGATTATAAAGTTTGAATTTCAATTAATCATAATTTAGCATAAAAATTTTTTATTACCTATTCAAAAATATGAGAAACTGGCCAAAGTTTTAAGACCGCTTTAAGAAATAAGATTGTTTCAATGAATTGAGGATTAAGCCGTGTACGATTATCAGTAATGGTAAGACCTGCAGATGAGAAAAGGCGTTCTGATGGCACAGAAGTTGCTGGAATTGCTAAATATTTCCGAGCAAGCTTTGCCAGAATTGGGTAATCATTTTTTCTGAATGCCAACCACTGAAGTATATCCGTTTCACTTGAAGCTTTTGGTACCAAAAGATATGAATTAAATTCACAGCTTGTACTATATTGTTGTCCTGGATTTTCTTGAAAATTAGTGGTTGTTGAAGCAAAAATATCTTTGTTATCTATTTTGTCATGAGATACTGTCAAATCTATTTGATCACCTTGTATTTAGTGTTAAAAATTACATTTTAAAATCTTACAAATACATGTTAGTTCACGTAAGTTTCAGTAATATAGACAAGAGGTGCAGATATATTGTTATAATTAGGTCGTAATTACCTCAATAAAAATTCTGTATTAAAATAAGTCATAACTAATTACGACAATATGTTTGCACCTTTAATATTTATAAATTAATACATAATATATACGTAGTACTAGAACTATGACAAATTTAACTAAAAAAAATTATTTTACTAAAACTTACATAAGATTATGCAAAATATATAATTTTACAACTCTACTTGCATTTGATAAAGTATTGGTTTCAAAAGAATCACAAGTTAATTCATATTCAGTAAGTGCTTCCGAAATTGTAAGTTTTTTATTTTCTTTTATAAATATTTGCATATCTTTAGTTCGAGGATCAAAGAAAGCAGCAAGCCGAATTGGTTTTGTTGGTTCTAAAAATCGTGTTTGAATTGATTCATAAAGAAAATTTCTAAAATTTTGAATATCAGTATAATTGGTTATAGCACAATCGAACTTCACTTTAATAAAGTTAATCACAAACCATGCCTGCGAAAGTGTTAGATATTGTGAACCAGATAATTTTTTAGAAATAACCTCATAAAGATATAATAATTTGACTAATTTGGTTATTTTATCCCAATCATTTAATGATAGTTCTTTTGTTTCATAATTTTTTAATAAGTTGTTGTCATTAGTCTCAACTAAAAGTAATTTATACTTATATAATGCAGGTTTTAGAATAGTTAATCGTTTTAATAGATAAAACGTCGAATTCCACCTTGTTGATATATCACGAACTATAGTAAGAAGTTTATCCCAGTCTTCTATCTCTATTTGCGCTTCTAAAAGAAATTGTTTTTGTTTTGGACTTCCACTAAAGTGTGATATGATTTCTTTACATTTTTTAATTAAATTTGTAACCTCAGGACACTTTTTTAATGCATCGTTAATTGCAAGTTGTAATGTGTATCCAAAACAAAAAACTTTATATATACCATATTTTCGCTCTAATTTTTCTAAACACGATTTGATATTTGATCCATTATCAATTGTACCACAAACAGTTACATTTTTAAGTTGAAGATTATCTAAAATTTCGATTATTTTATTAAAAAGACATTTGGCAGTATGAGGATACGGAAGGTATGAAATATTACCAATAATTTCTTTTATTTGAAAATTACTATTAATCCAGTGAAGCATGAGTTCGATATATGGATCACCATTGTCTAACGTCCACATATCAGTAGTAAATGAAATACTACTAATTTCAGTATTGTTAATTGCATACTCACGAATCTTTTTTAAAATTTTATCTTCACTATTTATAAAAATTTCTTTCAAATGATCTATACTTGGTATGTTGGCTTGGATATCAAGTCTTTCAATTACTCGTTTAAATGCTTGTGATCGAAGAACTGCAAATAGTTGAAGGTCCTCAACAATAAATGCGGCTATATTATTATTAAGTTTTTTCTGTTTGGGATGATTAAATGCATATTTTTTTATATTATCAAATGCTTGTGTTATTGTTGGTTGTAAAGACTCCACCATTAAAAGAAATTCACATTTGTCATTATCATTTGATATAATTTTTACTCTGCATTAGATATAAAAAAACTCTTTCCGTAAATTCTTTACACAAACTTAAATAAAATTCGTCCATCACAAAACTGCTAATATCTCAATAATTTATTAAGAAAACAGACCTT